TTGTGGCCTACGACGTGTAAGCTGCATATGCACGAATCTCACCGTCCATCACTTTAACGTGCGAGAATCCAGTATTTTCTTTCTTTTAAATATACAGTCATTTCCAGTCGTCTCTTTGATCGTTTCGTGTTCGATACCTCGTTTATTTCGCTCGTTATGTTACTTCATTTTGCTCACGCTGAATTTCTTTTCGTCGAAAGTCTCTTGTTATTTCGAATCGCGGGATAATCGAGTCGCAATCGGGAATGTTACCTTCGCTGAACCGGTGCGACCTTCGATTGGAAATCGCGATCGAAACACGGTACTAGACAGAGAATTCCTCTCGGCGGCAAGGAAACGACGACGACGACGACGACGATGACGAACTTGGCGGGAAAAACCGCACCATTTGCACAAGCGCCGTCGAGCCGCGGAAGAGCTTATTATTTCTTGCGCGACCGGCTTCCCTCTAGATCATCCGCACGTCAAAGGGTTGATTGGCTACTGGGCCAAAGTTTAAATTGCACCCTCGCACCGAAAGTCTCACGAGGGTTGGAAGCGAGGCCCCGTCATCACGCAGGCGCGAATCTCAGCCAGGTGTTACGATACTTCGCCGCGACGGATATGCTCTCTCAGACGCGCGCTTTTACCGGGCGTCCCGCTCGCCATCGTCGCATCGTCGTCGCAAAGCTCGAAAAAGCCCGCAGCGGAATTCTAATTATGTCCCGATTTACGACGCTTCGCAGCTCGCGCGCTTCGGCAGCTGCTACCTTGACACGCCTGGATGCGCGACACGGATTTGAAATTAATTCACACGTGTCGTGTCATGCCGAGACGAGAACGCTAATTGAACGATTAACTGATTCCGCGACGAGATAGATCTCTCACGTCGATTTCATCGCCGCATTTCCGCGAATAAATCCGCGAGGCTTTATTTGCGAGCGATTGCATCATCGAGAAGACTCAACTGAAAATAAGTCGCTCCCGATTCTGTGTACTATCCGACATTCTTTTTATCATCGCGACATTCGGTTGTCCACGAGAGCAGAAGACCGTGCCAATGTGTGTCCCGGTGTCGCTGTTGTAAGGCAGTCACACACGGCGAAAATTCCGACGACGAGAAGCGGCCGGTGCGTCGCAGAAATTACGCGAGTGCGTTACGCGCGCGTTAGCACTAGCAGAAAACAGAAAGGTAGCAGCCAATGGCGCAAATGGCGCTGACAGTCTGTCTCTCTCTTGCGAGAGAGTTCCTCCTCTCCGTCTACTCTCTTGGCCGTCTACTCTGCTGTTCTGCCTTCTGCTTCTCTGCCAAGGTGTGAATGCGCCCGAAGACGGAAACGCGAGAGCTCCCGCTGTCGGGACCTCTCCACGAGCGAGCAGCTCGCGCGTCTAGCCGCTTTCTCGATTTTCATTCTATTTCCGAGCCGCGACGCGAGGTCGCCGCGCGTCGCAACGCTCGCGCGCAGCACGTGCTCTCTCTCTCGCGCGCGCGCGCAATCTCCGTCCGATGATCCAAGATCAATTAGAAAAGCCGTCGCCTGAAATAAACGCACCAGCTCCGACCACCGTGGGTCTCATATCGTGCCCGCGACTTTTGGACACTTCGCCCCGAGGTCGCGCGTCCCGTCTCGGGGCCGTCGAAGAGGCCTTCGACGTCGCGACCAGCGCTCAACGGCCGGAGCCGGAGCGGCGCGGAGCGGAGCGGAGCGGAGCAGTTCGCTCCTGGTTGCCGGAAATACCGCGCGCGAGAGAGCCTTGTCGCGCCTGTGTGAGCGCACCTGTTCGCTCGCATTGTTATCGCACGCCGGCGGTACTCGGTGTTATCACTCTCGCGATTACGGCAGGCGCGGCAGCTGAGCAAATTCAGCGCGAATCGATAGCTCCCCCATTGTCGCCGCGAGAGCGCGAACTTTTACTCGCGCTTTCACCTGGCCCAAGCCGCAACGGAAGGCTCTTCGGGTTCGCCGCTGCCCGATGTCTGCGTCGGATCTGTTTCGGCCGCTACATAACAATTGTTACATCTGTTCGCGACAGGGTTGAGATTCGCCTCAGAATTGTATCAGCGACCTCGACTATCTCGAGGTCGATCGTGAATGTCCGACCTCGCTGCGAATGGCTGGGAATGGCTTCGCTTTTCCAGGCTGGAAAATTCGGCTTCTTGTGCGACAACGATTATGACCTGAGACTCGACTCCCCTTGCTTCATTTCTCCCTGAATGCACATAAAATGACCGCAAGTGGCGCGATAAAAGTCTTGCAAGAATATATCACGATGCCTCGGAGAATGATTCGTGGTCGCGGAGGAAAGGGAGACGCGTGCGTGCGAGTCAAGTCGCAGGTAGCAGAGCGCCGAGAGTTTCTCGTTCCAGCTCTTCGTCCCAAAGTCGAACTTACCAGCGAGATTAGCGGATTCTTCCGTTCGAAAGCCAGCGACGTCGGTTGTCGGTGGTCATCGCGCGTTGACGTGGAACTTTCGGCGGTGCTCGCGCGCGCGCAGAATGCGGCGTTTTACTCAACGTTTCTCGGGGAGGTACGCGCGCTCGACGACGACGATGACACGTCCGTTAGCGCAGAGCCGACGACGAGGTTCCAAATCACGCTCGATCCGCGACGACCGGCCGCGCCGCGGGTGCACATGCGACGACGCGCGGGGCTCGCGTCCACGACGGGCACTCGCGAATTATTACAACGCATTGTATCTGGCCGCGGCGAGAAGTGGTCTCCGGAGATGACAGGCACAAGCGCGTACCGGGCGAGTGTCGGCGAGAGCGCGAGGACGCCGAGGAGGAGCCGCGCCCGCGTATTCTATTTCTGCCGAGCGTTTCTTGGATCGGCCGGCGATTAATAAAGGCGACCGACGAAAACAGGGGGAAGGGGATGGGGGGATAGATCGCGAGGGAACCGCGTCGCGACGCGACGATCGGAACGGCGCGCTTCGCACTAATGTAAGAGAAAAGCGTATCGGCGATACGTTTCGCAAAGAGCGTCTCGCTCGCGCGCGCGCGAGCCGCTGTGCATGCGTGGCTTTAAATTTCGCCTGGCCCGGCCCGGCCTCGTGTCTGTCTCGAGTGGACGCGCGTCGCCGAGCTGTGCGACGATGATGATAGGCGAGGATAATTTTACGCCTCGCCTCGAGATAATGGTAAATGTCAGCGGACACTTTCAGCCGGCAGCTCGTCAGCATTCTAAATAAGGGTGTCTCCGAAAATGAGGCTGCTCTCTTCGTCGCGTTGTCTGCGATCTCGCGGAATTCGTGGATCTCTCAGCCGCAGGCCGAGTGGCCGATTCGCCGTCGAAGAGAGTGTGTGAAATCGAAACGAACTTTCTCATCGAGCCGATATGACGTTTCGATAACATTCGCTAAATTCCGTCGCGCTCACGGACGACCGATTTTTTATTCACCACGGTGTTCCTCATACGTTACTTACAGATTAATAATTACGCAATTGTTGATGATTACATACATTCGAGAAATCGCTTGTACGGAGCGATCAAGGGAACAAAGTGAAAAACGCAAACGTCTGGAATCACATTTATGTTTTCCGTATCTTTGACAGCGGATTACGATTATACAATTACGTTGTCAGTACTTGCGTAGAATTACGACGGAAATCAACGCGACGATCGGTGAGTCAGTGTTATCGTACGAGATGTATCGACCACACAATCGACTTGTACGACCTCAACGTAATACTGCCGAATGCCGAGTGTCGATACGTCGTGTTTCGTCGATCGCGCGCGAACACGTGAAATCCGCCCGGACGAGGTGATAGACAAACGATAGCGGAATGCATGCGCGCGCGATCGCGCTCCTAAATTGCATTACACGTAAAGTAACGCGGCGAGTCATGCATGCATGAAAAGTTGGCCGGGAATTCTGAAATCTCTGGGCGGATATGAGCGCGCGAACTCTCTCTCTCTCTCTCTCTCTCTCTCTCTCTTTCTCCGCCCCTCTCGCGCTCGCGTACACGCGAGCGCTTGTATACACGGGAATCAATATTTGCTGGCACTTCCAATGAAGGAGCCGTAATTTCGACGAGAGGAAGTCGTCGGCGCGAAGAGCAAAGTGGTTGCCGTACCTGCTCGTGACGGGCAATCAGCCACGCCGAGGAGTCCGCGCCGACTCGCCGAATGCAAGTCACAGTTTAGACACGGACAGGATGTTCGTCATGCATCTCCTCGACATCGATAGATCGGCATTGCAGAGCTTGGGACGAAGGAGGAAAGGAAGGACCCTTACGTCCTGCAACGACGAGACATCTGACAACGAGGTTTCCTCCTCTCGTCGTTAAATGCAGAGTCGCCGCGTGTTCACCGCCGATCAGAGATTTTCGCGAAATGGAGAACGGCCGAAGGAAATATTTAGAAATCGAAAGTCGCCGGCTCGGCTAGGTGTTGGTTTGCCGAGCGAGAAGCGCGGGAAGAAGCGCGCTCGCTTTAAATCGCACCGCTACGTGTCGGGGAGTTTCGGGATTTCGCGATGCCAACTGTGCCTAGGCCACTTATTTTTACATAAAGTCTCTCTTACATCGCTCGTTCCGCCTGTGTTTTCCTTTTCTTCTTGCCCGCGGACCCATCGCTCGCTCGACTGACACTGACCTTGGAAATAATGAACGCGGAGTGAAACCCGGCGCGCGCGTAAAATGAAGGCGCGTCAAGTATCCGTCATCAGACTCGCCTCGTCGAAGGCCTCGTCTATTTTGCACTAGCTACAGTTTCTAGGAAGACGCGTGTTTCACGGAAAAATATTTTTGCTAACACACACATACGCCCATATCCGCTCTCTCTCTCTCTCTTTCTCTCTCTCTCTCTTTCTCTCTCTTCCTCTTCTTCTCTCGTTCTCTTTCTTCTTGCTTGGTTCGTCCGGTCGACGCGCTGCTTTTGAAACGAGCTCTATCACACGTAGGATCGGTTGCGACAATATTAACTGGTGTTAATTACAGTTAATTGAATTCCACCTCACCGTCTGTATCGGAAACATGCAGAAAAGAGGCGGGTTGAGAACAAACATCGCACACACGCTGAAATTTTAATACTTATATTTTGGTAACATACAGAGTTTACACCAAGGATGAATTACGCAACGTCGACTCGATAGCGCGAACAGTTTCTTCTTCATCTTCCTCTTCTCCTTACGTGTACTCAAACGTGTCGGCATTCCTTCCGTTATCGTGGAAAAAGAAAGATAGCAAGAAGTCTCTCAGTATCTGCGAGTGTGTCTCATTGTCTGTGTGTATGTATGTATATGTGTGTGTGGGTTGTATGCCGCTGTGGAAAATACAATAAGTCTGTGTGAAGCGACTGTCCGGGTGTCGCGTTCTATAAGGTACGATATTTTATTTGGCAACAATTAACAACAATCGAGATCAAAGATCGTCCGCGTAAGCGACTTTCTTTCTCGGTTCTCCGGCGAAGCTCCCGAGATGAAACTCGACGCGAATCTGCCGTATCGCGAGCATTGATCCCGAGTCGCGCGACATTTCCGCGGCCTCGGGAGTGGAATTTTTGACGGCTGGAATTTTTGACCGCGGAGATTTCGCGTCGCGACATCACGCGACGGGACGTCGCCGGGACCCGACGAACGTCGGCTTCGCCGTTCCCCGCTCGACCACGACGACGCAAGATCTCCCGCCGTTGGGCGAAGCTTCTTGGCAGTAGGGGTGCTAACGATTACGCGTAGCGTCGCTAAAAACGTCCGACAGTCGCCCGGGGAACAAGGACCTCGGGTCTTGGACGACTTCGAACCGCCTCGAGCTCGTCCTCGAGATTACTCCGACGTTTCTCGCGCTCGACTAATTAACCTACGACGACGACGACGTACGTCGAAGTCGTCGTCGTCGTTAAAAAGACACGCGCGTCGCGTTCGCTCCACTCGCGAACGAACGATCAAACCAACAACGAACGACGCAGCATTCCATAATAAAAAAAGACTTTACATATTCGTCTATGATTCGTCCCGCGACCGAGACGAAGCGGAGGATCGAGACTCACGGGCGCTCGAGGTACGAAATTACTACGAGTCTACGGACGCGATTGCGCTCTTTTCCTTTCTTCTCTCTGTCTCTCTCTCTCTCTCTCTCTCTCTCTCTCTCTCCCCCTCTCTCTCTAAGGTGGTGAACTGCGACTCGAAATGCGGCGGGATGGGCGAGGAGATGTATGCATACGTCTCTCGGGGTACCGGAAGTGCAGGAGGTGCTGAAGCGTCGTCGAGCGTCGCAAGGAACGCTCGATTCGGCCAGGCCTCGACGAGTGATCGCGCGTCCCTCGCGATCTCATGTCTTCGTTTCCGCTGTTACTTTTCGTAGCATGCCTCGTCTCGCTTCGATTTTGAGAACGAAGAGTGCCGGTCTTATTGAACCCATGAAGCCGGCACCCACAGCGGCTCGGACTCCACCCGGTGAATCGCGTTGACCAGCTGCTCGAACGCCATCGAGAGATCGGCGTTTATTATCACCTCGTCGAACAGATGAGAGTAGAGAAATTCTATCCTCTCTGCGTTGTGCAGGATCTCGTTGAACTCTTCATCCTGTAACCGCCGGTGAAACGAAACGTTTGACGTCAGTCGTCGCCATGCGCGTGTGTTTCTCTGACACCTCAAATTTTGCACCGAGTACAGATTAATTACAGATTGATCCCGTCAAAACGGGAATGAGACGATAATTCTGGGCGGCAAAAGTTTGCGGTTTAACAAATAAAATAATAGGTTTGTACAAGTGAATGGATAAATAAATAAATACATAAATAAATGTACCGTGAAGCCCCGAGAGTTGCTCTCGTCGAAGGTCGACCTGGCTCTAGCCTCGCTCCTGGTTTCCTTCAGCACCTCGAAACGCGGCGGTTTCACATATATGATATACGGCCTCAACTGCGGCGACCTCAACATCTTAAGAGCCTGATAATGAGGATTCAGGAGGCACACGTATCCAGCGTTCACGAGCGAACTTACACTCTCCGAACTGGTGCCGTACAGGTTCCCCTTATACTCGCCGTACTCGATGAATTTGCCAGCTTCGATGTCCTCCTCCATCTTCTCCCGGGTCACGAAATGGTACTCCTTGCCGTTTATCTCGCCCGGTCGTGATGGTCTAGACGTATCTGAAAAGAAGGAGGTCGTCTCGCGTTCAGAAGTAGTTTAGTCCAAGTTTCACTTGGTGTGTTTTACTACCGTGTGTTTTTGTTAACCATCTTTGCGTCTAATCATTATAATTATTTTAACTACCTTCTCTTCGATCAGTTTCTTATTCAGTTTTTATTTATCGACACGCCGCGTTTGGCTCCGATGCCGATCTCACGTCAATTGTCAACGTTATCGCAGCTTCGGTCAAACGCGAGCTCACCTCTACGGGATGTTTTCGAATGAATCAGAATTTCCTTTAACGAATCGAGCGCGTTCTCACTTGCCGCGGGACTTACAGGGCACGGGAGTCTTGTACTTTTCGGCGTCCGTCGCCATGAGCCGCCTCTTGAGCTCGTTCCTGCCGACCCCCGGTGGCCCGATGAGAACCACCGGCCGGTACAGACCCGGCCTCGGGTAGAGTTTCGCGACCTCTTCGTAGGTCGGTACCTCTTCTCGGTCGAAGTCGTCGTTCTCTGCAGCGTCATACATGATTTTTTTAGTTTTAATTCCCTGCAAGTTGCACTTTGTGGGCGAGGCGTGCAAAGAGGTACTGGGACGGGGGCACAATGCGGGCAAAGGCACTGGAACAGAACACAAGCCTAACCGACGGTTAGGTCGTCAGGCCATCATCCGTTAAGAAAGCGCAGCCGAGATCAGCTTACCGAATTAACGGGTGACCACCTCGGACTCTGTCATGCGCGCGCGCGCGTACACACAACCGAACATCGACGCGTCCTAAAGCACTTGAGGTGGTCGCTAACGAACAATAATTCATTATGCAACATCGCTACCGCTCGCTCGCCGTGTTATGATGACTGTCAAGCGCTCGTTAACGACAACGCCAGCCTCGAAAACAGAGAAGAAGACGTTCCTCTCTCGGAGCACGTCTCGGAGCAAGATTACTCTCGAATTCTTGTTTTTTTTATCTCGTTTAATTGTAGCGCAGCAACGCTTCTTCCGAACTTGTAAAACAGCGTACGAAGCCTTGAAACAACAGGATCACAACATCATACGTCTCGGGGCAGGCACGCGCGAGGTTCTCCGTCAACGTGCTCCGAGTATGCATCTATTCTACTTTGGCAAGTTCGGTGACTTGCGAGAGACATCGTGCAACATTGATCGATAACAGTATGAACACTGTGAGCATGAGAGACACGATGATCATGATGATGATGTTACGTGACTCGATGAATGATGAACAATTGCAAACTGAGATCAGGACAAGCGAGTAGTCACGCCGCGCGGACAAATCCGTCCGACATACTTATATTGTCTTCATCCGACTTCTCCTTCTGCTGCCTCTCGAGGAGGATCCTGCGTTCTTGTAGAGCCCTACTGGGGATCAAGCCGGCTCTCATGTTTCGGTCGCCCTCTCGTCTGGCTTGCCACCTGCGTTTAATACAGCGTCGTGATGACAACAAGCTGCGAACTTGAGTCGACTCCACCAGATCGATAAATCGTCTCACCAGTAGGCGTCGTCTTGACTGACGATGTGCAGGACGTCGCCCTTGACGAAGTCCAGGCCGGCTTCCTTGCAGGGAATATAGGGGTCCTCGGACGCCACGTACGAGAAGTGCGCTCTCACGCGAACCTGAACGATTGTATTGTACCTTTAGTGCAACTTCCTCGCAAAACGCAAACTTCAAATCGAGGGCTTGCGAAAGTTCATGGAGTCATGTTTTTAACCGCATTTCTTTTCCTTATAATAACGAAGCTGTCAAATATATCCCATGATCGGTCAAATTATCCGCCACTTTTTACCACCTCAGGTCCCAGATAATCCCTTCTGATCCCGTGTGAATAAAATCGCTCGCTTGTTGAACGTATAAAATCCATCCGATGATCTGACGAACTTTTGCAAATCCTCGATATTATACAAGTATATCTCGACTACCAGGACTTACCTTGCTCTCCCTGACTCCGCTCTTACTATCCGCGGGCACAATTTTGAACGTGATCGTCCCTTCCGAGTTTTGCTGAAAAAAAAGATAAAATTTACGCTGGGCCCTTCGATAGCATCATCCGTTTGTTCGTTAAAATACATTAATTATTACTCGAACTACTTGGTCATATCAGAAATCGCATCGCGTTAAGAGCAGAATATTTAGCATGGGTTTAATCGGTTCTTCAAGTTTGTCGGAAAGAATCGTGCTGAACTTATGTGTCCATTAATTTGGATTGATTATCTCGATAAAATCAGTTTTTCAGACGAAAATCCAAAATAATTCGGGACTCGTTTGAAACGGGTTAAATTGTTTCTTTTTTACCAAAATGTGCAGGACGAAGCTGGGCGTTCTCCCTTCGACGCTGATACCGTTGACCTCGCAGACCTCGTCGCCGACGTGGATGAGGCCGGATCTGTCGGCCGCGCCGCCGTGCATTATTCGCGCGATCACGATCTTGCCGGTGACCTCGCAGGTTTTTATAGTCGCCCCCTAATGTCAAGGTGTAAACTAGTATTTTCATAGCGTTGCATCTCGCGCGCGTACGCGTACTCTCTAGGAAGCGCCTTCTCTTTCTCTCTCTCTCTTCTTAAAAAAAGGAAGAATAAAAAAATAAAGAGGAGTCTTTTCGCGGAAAGGCAGATATGCGCGGCGCATTGTGCTCGTCTCATTTCCTCTCGCTCTCTCTCTCGCTCTCTCTCTCTCTCTCTCTCTCTCTCTCTCTCTCTCTCTCTCTCTCTCTCACACTCTCCTTCTTTTTTCTCTTCCTCGATTGATGTCACTGAGCATCATTGAGATTGTGAAGACTCGGACAAACATTCGCGCCGATACCGTTCTAAACAACACGATCGTCCGAAAGATACACCCGACGTAAATGTACCCGAGTGAGATCCAATATCTCCTCTCTCTTTCTCTGTCTCTCTTTCTCTCGGACGTCCATCGAACGTCTCTCGTCTCTCGTCTCTTCCGGAGTTTCGTGTCGTACGCTTCCTTATCGGTCTCTACGTTCCCGAGATCAACAGAAACAGACATTCCAAACTCCATTCGTGAACGAAATCGTATCGCACAGGTGCCGAATCGTATCTCGAGAAACATTACCGCAAAGTGCATAAACTCACCCCTCGAGATCGCGACCCTGTTTCGCGCGACGATCGCTCGAGGAGAAAAATGTCGAGTCTGTTCATTCCACGTTGTGCGAGAGAAATGTTTCATATCGATATTCAAATCTACGTATACACACACGCACACACACACACGCGCACACACACACACACACACACACACACACACACACACATACACACACGAGCTCGCCGAGAGGCAAATTCTGCACTTTACGGTCTTTCAGGTCATGCGGGACAAAAACGACAGATGCGGAGATTAGAGTATATAAAAACAGATTTTATTTACAAGCAAAACTATCAGAAAACAACTTAACGAAACGTATATGCGGACAGAGGCAAACCAGCGTGGTCGATAAATTCGTGCGATAAAAGGGAGGACGGTAGAGGTAACGCTTCGTATGTACAGGTCGATCCGCGTGATCTGTGTGTCCTGTGATCGCAGCGAAGGATTTTCGAGAGATCGAAGGTGGCTAGAGGTGTCAGTGCTGAAGCAGCGAGTGAAACCGGTCGAATTCCTACGATTATTAAATTCCTGTTCGATTCGTGTGAGGTTTCGCCTTCTTCGCCACCTTTCTCACGTTTGCGACGACGGGGGGACGAGCGGCCGCGGCTCGAATTCCACCGATTCCACTCGTAAGTGACGCGCAGGTGAAGTGCCGAAACGAAAGCAAGAAACAAAACGACAAAAGAACAAGTAGCTGTGCTAAGGTGATGTGGGTACTAGGCGGGGTTTTCGTAGTAAAGTCAGGTGTTATCACAGGTTCAGCATATTTTTGTCTACGGGCAATTTCAGGCGACTTACCACGATCGGTTCAACGCCGGCGTCGCCCTTCGAAGCAAGTTTGACGATGAAAGAAACACGTGATTACTTGAGACAGTGTTTTTCCGTTCTTTCTTTTCTCTCTTCTCATTCGTTCGTTTTATCTCTCTCTCTCTCTCTCTCTCCCTCTCTCTCTCTCTCTCTCTCTCTCTCTTTTATTTCTTTTTTCTTTCTTACTCTCGGGTGAGGCTACTCTACTCTCGACTGGCAAAAGAACGCAAACTACGCAAGTAGTATAGTACGTGTGACTCGCCTCTGCCTACGCCGATACTGGGGAGCGGTTTTCCTCGCGTCTCATGCAGAACGACGCGTTAAGTACGGAGAAAAGTGTGCGGGCGGAGAAACGGAATCGTTCTTTTTTTCCCTCTCTCTGGCGATATTTCCCGTCTGTCGATTTTTCGTTGCGCCTCCTCCGAGGCGCAAAATGACAAAACACGCGTACACACACTCTCGATTAACTACTCAATCATTGAAGGTTAAGATCTCTTTCTCACGCCCCTCCCTCTCTCTCTCTCTCTCTCTCTCTCTCTCTCTCCCTCGCACTCTCGTCCTCACTTTCACTTGCTCATTCTCTTTCTTTCGGGTTAATCGAGTGAAAGACGTTCAAAGAAAATCACCGTTACTCAAAGGGCGGTTCTACGATCGATCTGACGTACCAAGGGTTCATTCGACTTCACCAGCTGCACGATCTTCACCGTCTCCTCGTCCTCGTCCACCTCCAACGGGATGTCAGGCAGCCTCGGGTAGTAGTCCTTCTGAGCCACAGCGTCGTGGGCGCAGAGGAGACCCTTTGGTGACAACGATTCAGTCAGAACATGTCTCTTTCAAAATGTCGCATCGCTCGAGGGCCAATTTTTCAAATCGCGAACGGTAGTGAACGGATTGATAATTATTCAGTAGCTCAATAACGGGTAATTACCGCGGATTAGAAAATACTAAGGAACGTCTTGTAGCACATCTTATCGCGAAGAGAACGCAAAGAATATTTAACCCAGCTGGTTCTCAAGCCACTTCAATACCTGGATATGTGGTTTCTGCAGCAAGTAAAAGAGCTCCTTGCACTCGGCGGAGACGTGCGTCTTGGTCGAGAGCAAATCAAGGACCTCGATGTCGATGTCCATCGAGTTGGACAGCACGGGAAAGAACTTGTCGTCCTTGACATTGTTGAGGATCTTGTTGTGAACGTTCACCAGGGCGTTCAGCTCTTTCGATTGCAGCAGCTCGCTCAGGAAGCCGAATTCCTCCTCGGTGCAGCTGGGTATCTCCGACTTGCTCTCTTGCAGCGAATTCAACAGCTTGGACAGTGCTGAAATAAACGAGCACGAAGTTCAGCTAAGAATACGGCGGTATAATTCGTATTATAAGGAGATTGCAAAGGTCACAGGAGATCAGAACTCGGCTTTGTGATAATTAGTTTGTGAAAGTGCGCCGATCGAAACGAATTTTTTTCACTGCAACGTTAGTAAAAACTTGCGCTTCAGTCGTGCTCTGATTTTCTTCGTCAATATGTGAGGTTACTAATTATTATTATTGGAACCAAATTCTATGCCGGTCTCCTAACTTCAAGTTCAAGCGCCGGCGATACCGGAGCGCCAAAGTCGGAGTCTAAAATCTAAAATTGGGCTAATTAACTCTCGCGTTTCTATCGCATCTATTCTCAAGCAATCTATTCTCAGGAGCGACGACTCTTCGTCACCTTTGCACGCTGATCGATAAATTAATTTCTGAGCACAAAGCACTCTCTCATTCGAGGCCTGCTTTCCTTTCGGCAAACTAGAGCACGAGGAAACCGTGCAGTGCAACCGACACGTTTCCTCCGTCGCGATTTTATCGAGGAGACCTCGTTGCTGCTCGTGGTCTCGCGTTTATTTACTCCAGCTTGTGCGCGCTCTATATTTATAACGCACAATGCCCGGCGCACGTTTTTATTAATACGCGTCTCCGAGGACTGTCCAGTCATATCGGAGTTTATTTTCTCTGCGCAACCTGCTCCGATTACTCTCTTCACTCTTCTCGCGAAACACAGTCTGACTCTTATCATCATTGTAATTGTTATTATCATCGTTGTCGTCGCGGTCGTTAGCCTCACATTGAAATAAAAATCTCGCTCTTCAAACACCGCCGTCACTACTACCATCAGCACTATCACTACCACCACTGCCACTATCCTTGAAATTATCGCGCCAGCGAATCATGTCGTGCGAAAACACGTGAAGACTTCCGACGCCGCTCTCTCTTTCTTTCTCTCTCTCTCTCTCTCTGCCTCTCTTTCTCCAACTTCGTGAACCGCCAAGTTCTCGTGTCCCTCTCGTCGTAGGCTTACTCGCACTTACCAGGGTCCCAATTAACGTTTTCCATGACGATCGCTGCTGTCATAATTCGCAGTCACACATACACACACGCGCGTGCACCTCGAGGCCACCAGGACTCGCTCGCGACGGGGTAGACGCGCGAAGTGGGTGACGCTCTCCCAGAGATATTCCGGAGATATCAGAAGCGGGATTCGGGTCGACTACGGTGTATTTCTGTCGGGGTCGCGCGCTGCGCCGCCGCGACGGCTCTCCCGGCGACGATGACGATCCGCTGCTTCCTCTCGTGTCGCGTTCGCGTCTGGAGTGTCGTTATCATAGCGAGAATAATCCGTTACGTAAGCAGCTTGTTACTCGACACGGGGTAAGATGACCGCCACCGGATTGGCCTGCCGTCCCTGCCCCGTGCGACTTCGCGACATGGTTCCGTCTCTCTTTCCACTTGCTCGCTTTTTCTGTCTTCTTCTCCCTCCTTCTCTCTCTCTCTCTCTCTCTCTCTCTCTCTCTCTCTCTCCCTGTCTAAAACAGTCTCACCCAAGCCTCTCCCAGAGCACTTGGAGCACACCCTTGCGACGCTCCCGCGGGGGATGATCCGCCTAGCAGCACTGATACACCCCCAATGCACTATCGGTTCTCATTGTTCGCGTACTCGAGTGCGACCCGGCGAGTCCACCGCCAGTGCCATGTTGGAAGGCATCGACGCTCCGTGCACCCTTCTTCGGCCTCTGCTCCGTGCCGACTCGCCCGTTTCTCTCTCCTTGTCTAGCACGCATGGGCCACGAAGAGAAACGAACGATCCGTCGAAACCCGACCCTACCTCAGTGCCCATGCAGGGACGGCGTTACTAGAAAAACGCGCGGCGCTTTTCCACGCGCGTTTCTTCGAGGCGCCGGATTTTCGCGGTGCTCGCATACGCGAAGCGACTCGTCGGCTTCGCTAATCGTGCTTGTATCTAGCGAATTTCATCCTTTCGGAACCTCGACCGCGACGGATGGCAATTTTTGAAACGCGCGCGTTGCTGATGTAAAAGGTCCGTTTCGGTGAATTTCTTGTACTCGTAACAATCATGCAACGAGTGTGGCTAATAAGGCGATCGAACTCTGGCTGTTGTGCATAATTTTATGAAGATTTATCTCGTTGTATCACATAGAGTTATCAGAAAACGCAAATATCGCAGGGATTACGAATGGAGCGGATAGACTCGTGGGATTTCTTGAAACGCGAGATATCAGTAAGAGAACTCGAGGTGTATCCTGAACACTATTTCATTAATCGGTGCATACAAACACTCTTTGAAATTCAACGAAGCCTCGCAGCTCCCGTCGCGATTCGAATTGCCCGCTCGACCGGCATAGCTTTGAGAGGTCATATAGAGAAGCAGCTCATATGAAGTGACTTATAGTGACACCTGTCATGAGCTCGCAGTACTGAATGAGACAGGTGATGGAATAACACTTTGATCTTACAGGACCGTTGATCTTATAGGATTTGGAGTACCAGAAAAATCTCGCTGAGCGCTAACGTCCTCTTAAGAATATTGCGGCTGGGATATGAAGCTGTAGCTTCAAATAAGCATAAATAGTAAGCAGAGATGAAGTGATAGAAGAAATATATCGGAAAGTATCAACATCGAGGTAATGCTAAAGACTGTCAGCATTGTTGTAAGTGCTGATAGTCTTTAGCATAAATTTTCGTATTGGCAAAGGGGCCCTGAGAGGTCTGAAGGTGATTCAAAAGTCATGACAATACCAACTGTTTCAGTTACATCGAAGATAACACGAACTTTGTTTCTATGGCTTGTGGAATTTAATTTTCAAGCGGTGAAAAAGAGGGAGAAGTAGTCCCTGAGAATTTATAATTAATATATACGTAAATTTGAATTGTAAACCTGAATTTATTAATTCCGGTTTTATTTTTCAATTAATTTTACTCAGAGAACAATTTCCTCCGAGATAGGAATATAAAATTTCCCGACATAGGCTGCATACTGGATACTTAATTATTATATTGCCGCAGGGCAATTAATCTCCTTTCTCGGCAAAAGAATAATTTAAAATAATTTCACGTATTCGATGTACTATAATTCTCGAACCTCAAATTTAGAAAGCGTATTATAATTCTCGAGCCTCAAGTTTAGAAATCGCAAGTTTAGTATTTTAATCTACCAGAATTTGTGGTTCGAATCTTAGCTAAATTTTATCGATGCCCTTATATGATGGTTTGATTTTCAGTTAAATTTGATGATTGTATAAATAAAAAATTAAAATAAAATTGTGATTTGAATCCCGGTTAGTTATTAGATTTTTAGTCGAGACTCGGATCATAATTTATCGGTCTCCACAAGATATAGCCAAGACTTAAATTACAATTTTTCTGCACACCATAAAATTTACCTGAAAATCGTATCAGTATTTATTGGATTCCTTATTTTTTGCCAAGACTTATACCAGTACTTCAGCCTTCATATAATGTGGTCGATATTCGAACCATGATTACTACTATGTTGGAATTTTGCTCATTTTGCCGATTTCGCGGCTTCACATCAGGAGGCATTGTAATGAGCAGAAAGTTCTGGCGAATTCGGACAGGAAATTTGAAGAATTTTAAATGTTTTGAGTATTTGGGCAAATATCTGGGAAAAAAATAGGGGAGGTGGTGGCACAAATAAATAAATATTTGTTTCATATTTAACATACTTTTATTCTTTATTATTTTTCATTACAATGTATTACATGTATTATAATATTACATACACACACATATTTTCACTATTTCTCGTCCACTTCTTCGTCCACTTTAGCGTTCCTACAATCGTCTCGCTAACAAATGTCACTTATGTAGACTCTCGCGGTAGAATGGAAATTCAAGCGGTTTCAATATTTCTCAATGTTTTATGTTTTTTTATTGAATCTCAATCTTTCTCTTCAGTTTCACATATATAATTATCAGTAGTTAGCATTTGGCTTATGCCATTAAATTTTGTATTTTTGTATTACTTATACGTCGGAGGGAACTGTTTTCCGAGGAAAATTAAATGAATAATAAAATCAGAGATAATACGTGAATTTACAATGCGCTTTTGAAATAAAGCACATTTTGCCTATTTCTGTGAGCATGGGCAATAATTGGTAATTGGACATTGGGCAATAGTATAGTATTTATTCTATGCCCGCTGCCGGAAAAGAGGAGGCGGACTAACTGTCCTCCAGCAATAAAATAATGATGTTGTATCCGGCATTCGACCTATATTGTAAAATTTCGTATTTCTACCTCGGAGGAAATTGTCCTCCGAGTAAAATTAATTGAAAAATCAAAAAAAATATAACCAGAGTTAACTAGTTCAGACCATTGAATGTTATGTATACGTTAATTATAAACTCCCAGAGACTACCTCTCCCCCCTTCTCTCTGCCGTAGAGTCGAAAAATATATTCTACAAGGCACAGAAACAAAGGCAAAGACACAAATGTCGTGTTATCTTCGGTGTAGCTGAAATTGTCGGTATTGTCATGACTCTTGAATTACCTCCAAGCCCCTCGGGACCCCTTCGCCGATACGAAAATTTCTCCAGAGTTGACACTCTTCGACATTACCTCGTCGGTGACGGTGAGGAGGAGCGCGCGTGGGTTGGCGCTCGCTTCCTGGCGCATTTTCACGAGCGACGCGGCGGCCGCGAGGCGGCGCCACAGTCGTAGTGTATACATGCAGTTGTCTATATGCGAAACGTCTCGCCGCGCGCACCGCAGCAGCATTTCGGACGATTTTAGCGTGGTTTACACGCGGCGACTCGCAGCGCGCCTTCTACCACGGCATCAGCAGGTCCGCCGGTGTCTTGAGCCTCGGTAAGCACGCCGGTTTCACTTTACTTTTCGCGTGCGACGCACCTACGCGCTTGACATGGCGTGCGTTTGACACACACGCTCGCGAGCGCGCGCGTTCGCTCGGCCGCTCTCTCGTCGGCACGAACTCGCTGAGATTGTCGCCGTGGACGGTGCCGCCGCCGGGACGACGACATCGTCGCGACGGCGCGTCGAGCCGCGACACCGACGCCGGAAATGCGGCGTCGCGCCCGACGACGCAACGCCGCGGTGAAACACTACGAGATATCCACAAGTGGTTGCGCGCCGCGCATGTGTGCGTGTGCCTGCGTGTGTAGGTGAGCGGGCGGACGCACGTGTGTGCGTGCGCGACGGCGACGCGACGACGACGACGACGAGACGTTTCGAGACGTCACGCCGCGCCGCGACGCACACCACGCTGCGATGGTCTCGAGAGGATTGGTCGGCAGTTCGGAGCGGCGGAGCGCAGGGCCGCATCTAGAAGATTCTTAGCGGCGACGCGACGCGCGTGCGAGTAGAGGACGGGTAGAGTTTTCTCTGTTTTACGGAAGACGTCGGCGTCGGTATTCTCGCGAAGGGTCGCGTGCGCTCCGGAAAATCACACTACGACTCGCCCGTGCTCGCTTTTTTCTTTATACAAAGAACTCATCGTTGCACTCGCGCTTTGACGATCCGCATTGGCGTGGCGGGAAAATAATAAGCCGATTGTGAATTCGTTTGTATTCTCTCGCATGGACTCGGGGCTTCCGCTAATCGGCGTTAATTATGTTTCAACACGTTCGCCACCACGTGTCACGCATTGATTTTCACGGGAGTTCGACGTCGCGCACGTGTGTGACGGGCGATAATTTGTTTACTCTCGTGTCTCTGTATAAACGAATTAGGTCTGTTTTATGTTGTTGCGCGTGAAAAAGGTGTAGGTGGGCCGCGTAGCGATTTCCCGCGATGGCGAGACACGCGTTGAAACGTGTTGGAATTAACGAGAGGGTCGTTACGCACATTGACGTTCGCGCGTGTTGATGCGAATGATGATCGTCCGAAAGCCGAACAGCGTCGTATTCTTCCTTCTCGGTGGAGAAAAAAAAATTCCAGGTATCGTCGATGAAACATGAGGTGCAGCTTCGTCGTCGGCGCAACGCGCCGCTCTTCCTCTCGCACTGCAGCCCCATTTGCGACGACGCAGGGATGTAACACATGTGACTTTTATGAATAAATTGTTTACAGCCGACGATTGACAAGGCGCTGTTGATTACTCGCTCTAAATCTCTCCATACACTCCTCCGAGTTTTTCTTTTTGTTAACCAAGTTTCTTTTCTTTTCGTTGTTGCAGAAGCCTCCCCCGCACACCTTCGCATATCCCCCCGTTTCTTTTTTATTCACCGTTCTGGTAAGCACGCAATATTTTGTTATTTATCTTCCTCCGTTTTGTCGCTCGTTCATTTCTTTGTTTGTCCGTTTAATCCGTTAGTACGTAATTCTCGTAATTATAAGAGACTCTCGATCGTTACGCGAGCATTGGAACGATGTTATGCCTTCTTCTTGCTGTTTATCTTGCGTCTTTAGACGAGTGTGATATCGCGCTTGTTCGTTACTTCGATAAAAATCGTTTGCGCCAAACATACGAGGCGGCCTGTCCGTCTGCATTACCGCGCAACAGAGACAGAAATGCAGCTCGTGTTGCAGCTGAAAGATGTCGCTATCGGTGCCGTAGCCTGACGCGCGCAGACCGCGAATTTCCGCGTCCGAAATCGCGAATGTGCGCGTTCGTCGTGCGCGGAAGAACGCGCACGAGCGATTGAATTTAACAAGCAAGACAGTTATTAATAATTCGACATTTTATCGCACGGTGCTGTTTCCTTATTTATCTCGTACGCGCGGCGTTAACGAGAGAACTCGTCGAGCATAGGCAGGAGCAATTAGCGGGTAAGTTGAAAAAGGACGACTTCGCAGCGAAGATCGGCCAATTATCATCACATGACGAATAACGTCGGATTTGCGTCGGCGTGTTATCACGCGTCGGCGGTACGCCGAGCGAGCGGAGAATAACGCACGCGCGACGAATGAAATTTATACGCAAAACACGATTTATCGTCGAAAAACGCGTCGCTCATATTCCGCCGCTGTGTAGAAAATATCGCGCTATCAAGATCCAAAGGAGAAGAAAAAACCACGCGCGGCCGGCCGGCCGGCGCGGCAAGTTTCGACGGCGCGCAACTGCGGAGAGTCGCCGTGTGCGCGCGCGAAGGGAGCGAAGGGCGCATTCCGCCGGCGGGAGGGCCCTCGCGGGAAGGGCGAGAGATGAAACCGTCTCGCGTGCGACGCTCGTGTGAAAAATTAAATCGCATTTTCACGGCGTCGCGTTATTTCATCCGCGGTCGAGCGGACGGGCAAACGTGTGTATCGAGATCTGGGCAAACATTTTTGGCGCCCTTTCAGACGAATTAGCCGGAACGACTGGCGCGGAGCGGCGGCGACTCTTTCTCTTCTCGCTTCGCCCACTTTTTCTCCTTTTTCGCACGCGCGCCGTCGCGAAATATTTCACGGCCGCGGCGAAATCCCGCGCGACGCGGCGCAAGACGGTGCGTTGCCTGTCGAACGTTTCGCGCGCAGAGCACCGCCACCGCAGCCAGACCGGAGGGATGGGGGGGGGTGCAGCGGGGGCGCGTGTCAGGGCGAGTGTTTTACTAGCCTTAATTTCGTGTGCTTTCGTAGCCAATATGTCGGGGCAGTAAATTCTAAACTTTCCGCCGGGCTTCGTGTTTCGGCGTTACGCGTTTTTGCGCGATCGCGGTTTTAACGACCCCCTCAGCCCCTCGATCTCCCGCTCCTCCCCCTTCGCTTCTTTCCGCCACCCGCCGTCTCGTCCCCACGGAGCTCCCGCTCCCCTGTCCGTTGCCTGTCCGTTACCCATACCATTGCCCCCCCCCCCACCTAGCGACTAACGCGGGTCCACGGGAAGGCTGCTGCGCGGATATTAATTTTGTAAATAACGAACTTCCAGAGAGTACCGACGAGAAACTTTACGCACCCTCCCTCCGCTGGACCACCCACCGGCTCTGTCCGCTGTCTCGCTCTGGTGACCCCTTGTCACCTATTCGTAGGGCCGGACAGAGAGGCGGGAAGGGCGGGAAGGTTGCATATCGTTACGGCGTCGAGAGCGTATCTCGAGCTCGCCTCGGAAATTTTTACCTCGCGGTGGCGGCGGCGCGAGGCGGCACTTGCAAAACAATTACGATTCGTCGCTATTTCCTTCCGCTATTGTGCGGCCGGGGCCCGTGAAAGGAGGACCGAACTTTGAAATTCATTGCGCACCATTGTACGCGGCCGCCCTTATTTCGGGGGCGAGGCGCGGGTGGGGCGCGTACGACGCACTAAAAATGAATAAGACAGGACGATTAAATATTCGCCGGGCGGCGGTACAAAAATTCACGTCGGCTGAGAGAGAGAAAACCACACAGACGCGTACGACTGCACCCGCAGCACACATACTAACACACAACACACATGTGCCGCAGAAAAAGGGGAAAGGAGTGAGAGGGCCAGAAAGAGGAGGGGGCGGGAAAAGAGGAGAGGAGAACAAGAGAGAGAGAGAGAGAGTGTGTGTGTGTGTGAGAGAGAGAGAGAGAGAGTCGTGAATCGATTGAACCAACATAAACGGTGGAGGACTAATAAAAAAAAACAGTAATTTACTTACTAAAACATAAAGCCACGTCCGTGGCCGGCGAAGGAAGGCAAACACATTAAACATTTAGAGGGCATAATAACCCGCGGCATACGTAATACGGCTGGCGCCCTTTTCACCGATGGCCATGAATAATGTACACACGCCAAGGTATGACGTAGGCTCGCGCGCTAGACTTGTGTGTATTTCACGGCGGGGTAGATCGACCGGGCTATTTCCAATAACCGGCAGCGCGCCGCGCCGCGTCGCGCTATCGCGCGCTATCGGAGCGCTAGCGAGCGTAAGACCGCCGCGAGAAGCCGAGCCGGTCGCGAAGGTGGACGTGTAGTGGTGGTGGTGGTGGTGGTGGTGGTGGTGGTGGTGGAGGCGGCGGCAGAGACGGCGGCGGCGGCGAGAGTGATGGAGGAGGTCATCCGCGAGACCCCTTTGTGTCCGGGTTTTGCTTCCGTCGATTGTCGTCGACGCTCTCGCCACTTTGAGACCTATCTGTTTTATGCGAGTTAGCCCCCCGGAATGGAATTATCGGCCGGTAGCCGTTGAATAGTGCGTTGGACGAAGAGCAAGGGGACGCGCTTCGAGCGAAAAACTCGATCACCGAGTCGCGTCTCGACCCGCTCTTGCCGGCTATTTGCCGCTCACCGGCGAGTAGTTGCGGACGAGACCTCGCGAATCTCGCGGTTAATCTCTCGCCTAATAAGGGATAAAGAAATAATAGACGAGTCCGGGATCGATGCTTCAATGTTCGAGACTCTAGTGGGGTGGAAATATCGAAATTGGAATTAACGAATTGTCCCCTTCTTCATTGTTACATCAGCGCGAATAATGTAGGGCTCTCCCGTGTCTAGCTCTAATACCACATCTTTGGCTCTTTCGATCATCGAATAAAATAACGTAAGGCTCTCTTTGCTGACTAATTGTAACGCTACATCTCAGACTTTCGCGATAATGGGATAAAATGTGTCACACGGAGTGGTTTGACATCGGCTGCTTCTCCCCTCGTCTGTTTTCGCGTACAAAAAGAGGGAAGGAGAAGATCAACTCGGCGGCTCTTTTTGTGTGGCGCGTGGCCTCTTCTTTTTATTTTCTTTCGTCGTAACAACATGCGATATTATTTTCTAATATTGTATTAATCAAGCGAAATTTCCTCCTTCTCTCTCTCTCTCTCTCTCTCTCTCTCTCCCCCCCCCCCTCTTTCACCCCATGCCAGATTAATTTCCGGTTGCGCTCGTAATAGATAAAGTACGGCGGCGTTCGATAGGAAATTCTCTCGATGCTTGAGCACGCGCTGCAAATGCACTTGGAAATAATCGGTTAATACCGTGCTCGCGAGATGCATACCGGCGATTAGGTCGGCGATTAGCGGCGGCGAACGAGTCGTCGCGAATTACCAGCGCGCGGTTCGCCGGAAGGGTCGCGGTGATTTGTACATCGGTATCGGTATAGCGCGCGCGCGCCTATGCAAGAGAGGTAAAGTAATGAAGTTCGCATTCCAGGCTATCTGGAGCGTAGAATGACAAAACAATAAATCGCTTATCGCCATCGTGGCAGCACTCGCGTGCCGCCTACTTCGCCGTGTCGTTTCTTCGTCGCGACGTAAAGCGACTCGCCGCGTAATTCGCATAGACGCAACACGCCGACGCGATAAGCGTGAGCGTTTCCCGCTGCTCGCTTTTAAGTCTCGCGAGTATAAATCTACCGATAGGTGCGCGTGTATGCGTGCGCGCGCGCGCGCGCGCGACTTTGTGCGTACTTATGTACGTGTGTATACGCGATCCGCGTGAAAATTGAATTTCATGCGACCGTTCCGAATCTTTGCACTCGAACGGTATCTGAAATCGTCGCTGAAAAGAAATTCACGTCGGTGGTATTCCAAAGTCCAGTTGAGGGAAGACGCGTGCTCGAGTTGAAACTGTTGATAAATAATAATAACGATTAGCTCGACTAACGGACTCTTCCAAAGTCTCGAGATCTCGGAAGAAATCGATCTATCGTTGTCCGCGATGGCGTCGCGACGTTCGATTACTTTCGCGCGACATCGCCGACCAGCAGTATAGTGAACGTTGTACCCGAAACGGTTAATGTTGTAGTCTCGGTTGAAGTGCGCGAAGCGGGAAGAAAGGGTAGATTTGCTGCGTGATGCCGTCACGTCGGTGCCCCGGTGCGTTATTCATCAGCGCCCAGTCGCATTATTCATCGGCCGTTCATCTTATCCATCTGGCGCGCCAGTTTTTGCCAATTATAACAATTTTTGCCGCCGCAACGACCGTTCCGCATATGGAACAATGGTCAAGGGGGGAAGTAATGTCTCTTTATTCCATATAAGAGAGAGAGAGAGAGAGAGAGAGAGAGAGGGAGAGAGAGAGAGAGAGAGAGAGAGAGAGAGTGAGAGAAGGAGGCGAGCAGAGGAAAAAGGAAAACAGAGCTGGAGACGATTCTGCGTTCACATAAAATTAATTAGTAAATTAGTTAATTAGTAGTAGTCAGTATGTGGTCGCCATCAATATCGGAAGACGCGTCGATGCTATTTCTCAAAATAATAGTTGATTCATCGGCGACTTAATTACGTCCGATGATTTCCTTATTCGCGTAAAAACACAGAGGAACTGTTGTGTCACGCTGAAATATATAACAGCCATATCTATCGAGTATAATTCTGATGAAAGCAAGTACCTGAAATTACGATCGATCGATAGATTTAAGGATTA